ATACTCCTATTTTTTTCAATGGTGTTTTACATAATGTTTAGTGTCTGTCAGCCCGCTGCCATGTCAAGACGCTCTCTCAGCTCGACCATTTCATTACAAGCTTCTTCTCACTAAATTAAGCTCTGTGAAATCAATACAGCTAATTGAGGATTTCTGCAATTAAAAAAAATTAACCCGGCATGTTTGAATTAACAAGCAAGCAGTGACTTCTGCTGACCAATGCTGATTCAGACTAAGAGAAAAAAGCAACTGAAAAACAAAAGCTTTAATTAAAAAAAATATATTATTTAAAAAAAAAAAAGTTTAACCGACAGTTCACCCTGAAAATAAACAAACTAAAAGCGTTAGGTTAATCACCCTCAAATCATCCACAAAGCAGGTGAATTTACTTCAGTAGAACATTGAAAAAAAAAAGGCTTTTAGCTGAAACAATGATTCACCATCCAAGGTGTTTGTACTTTTAGGGGGGATTTCAAAGTTCATATCGCAGGTGACTTGCATTTTAGGAAGAACCATCAAGAAGCAGTTTCAGGAAGGAGAAACACTACTTAATGCAAGTTTAAAGGGATAAATTAATGAAACTTTTCACACAATTTTTTCACCCTCAAGTGGATCAAAACGTCCCAAATTTTATTTTGGTAAAGTATTTTGAATTAAGTTTAAAACCATAAATGGAAGCCAACGGTTACCAATTCCAAACATTCTTCAAAATATTTTCTTTTGTGATAAACAGATACAAACGGTTTTGAAACTAGGGGTTGCGCAGACTGCCATGACGCTTTTTGATTGACGTAGACTAGTAGTGCAAAACAGATCATGTGGTTTTTGACCTAAACTACATGGCAGCCTTACACACGAATGTAAGTGCACAGAATGAAACTGCCCTCGCATTATTGAAATTAATTTAAATGGGTCTTTTTATGTCAGCGTCAATGAATAACATGAACTTGAAGTGAAGTTTAGATCATCAAACGGTTGTCGGCCAGTTAAATCACGCCATGCAAATACCCTCGAGCAGACGATAGCTAATTGCTTTTACGCAACAGTGAAAAAGTAATGTGATTGGCTGTTGTACTCTGCAACACGTTGCCACTGACATGTTTTGTGAATGAACCGTGAAACAGTCAAGCGTGCAGCCATGAAAGTGCGGAAAACTTCTTTGCTTTGACCCAATTGACATACTTATACTATGCCCTGAAAGTCTGTACTTTTTCTGAGGGAAAAGTATATTCTTTTGAGTGTGTAACAAAAGAGTATGCAAGCTTTGGGACATACAACTTCCTCGTTAACAGATTGTTATGTTGCTTAGTTATGTCCCTTTCAATCATCCACACATCATCCACATTTCTGTCATATTAAATTTCCTACTGGAGAAGCATTTTTTTTTTTTTTTACTGGAGAAGTGACCTTTTATAATGCAAAACAGTGGCTCATTAATAACATAAGAGTCGACTTCCAAAAATTGTTCAGTCGTTCGGTCCCTAATTGAAACAAGTAAAGGTGAGTAAATGATGACAAACTTTTCAGTTTGGGTGAACTAACTTTAAGTAAATTAACATCAGTGTTTTTTTCTGAACTCCATCTCCAATATAACACATGAGAAAATGCAAATAAATAAATAAATGACAATAAGGATCCATGACTACTACAGAGACTTCTTGTACGATATTAAGGAAAATACAAACCAAGCACAACAGACTTAAGCAAAGCGGTGCACTCAATACAGTCCTCACTGTTGCTTAACAGACGTCAGCCTGTAAAATACAGCTGCCACAATCCAGTTTGGATTCCTCTCAACTATATTCCTTCATCTAAACTGTTTACGCAGACTTGGAAGTCTTTCTGAGTACATTCTGTTAAAAGACTGCTGGAAAACTAGTAGAATCAGTTATGCTCTCAGAAACAAGCTTCATCTTCAGCGACTATGATCAAATTGTTTACTCATTAAATACAATGGGGAAATACTGTGATTACTGGAATCTAGGAGAAAATGTCACCGAGAAGACTTCAAATTAATTTTTATTAATAGCAGTTTTGGCTTTATATAATAAAAATTAACAAAACAAAATATGGAAATAGACAAGACTGTAAAACCAAAAAGGTTAAAGTAACTCAAACCATTTAAGGAAACTGATTGCTACAAACCATCCGAGTCAAAAACTAATCTATACGAGTACTGTAACCTTACAACTAGGTATTTAATTAACTCATTACCTTCAACGCTGAGTTCAAAACTATTTTCAAATGAGTAGAATTAACTTTCAGTAAATTTGAGTTAACTACTCAAAGATTTCATTTGATAAAGTTGACTGTTGGGTTTTACAGTGTACCACTCAGTTTTCCAGAGTGTTTTTTTTATATTATTATTATTACTATTATTATTATTAAATGCAACACATTTCATTCATATGTCCAGGCTTTAGACATTATGATTCCCATACATTTCCAGATATGACTGTGATACTCTTGATAACCAAAAGGCTACTCTATGTCAAATCAAACAAATTTCAGAAATTTTCAGGCTCAATTTGTTTTTCTTAACTATTTTTGAAGACAGGTGATAAAATAGAAATAGTGATAAAAGCCAACATATTAAATGCTGTGGATGTATATTGATTGAGCAATCATGATAGTATAAGCAAATACTATAGCAAAACCAATCGCTGACATCAACATTGTTTGTTGCTAGTTGCTACACATTTTCAAATTGACAAAAACTGTCAAATTAATTTATGTTTTATATTGAGACATGGTATGCCAGCCTTATCTCACAAGGAAACACAAGTATTTTCTGTTTTGTCAGTTTGTGGCTAATTCATACAAGTTCAGTTGTACAAAAATGTACGATTCAACAAAAAACAAAAACAAAAAAAAAAGAGATGTGGCACCCAACCCCACCCCTGAACCCAACTGTCATTGGCAATATGCAAATTGTACGAATAGGATTGTACGAATTCATACAAATTAGCCATTAAATTAAAAAGTTACTAACCGCCATGATGTTGGGTATGCTCTACTTAAGCTACAACTGTCATTTTGACTCTGCTGTACAAAATAGTGGATTACTTAATAAATGCTTATCCAATGCATTTAATGGTCATCTTCTTTGGAAAAAACATTTAAATTTTGAGCAAAGGACATGTAGCCGAGTCGACATGGACAAGGAATGACCCTAAATTGTTATTTTGTCATAACAATTATGTTTGTGGTTTCTTGTTGCTCATCATGAGGGATGTCCAGATCCAATCACGTTATCAGAAATCGGGCCTGATCACGTGGTTTCAGACTCGATCGGAATTGGAAGTTACCTGCCAATCAGGACTCGAATATATATTTATGTATCACATCTATAGTTATGCGGTGGCACAGACCTCTTTCTTGACTTTACACAGAAACAGCAACGTATGCGACATGACATGACTTTATGGCAGAGACTCATGGGATAAACGCAGGCAAAGTAGAACACAGAAGGAGCTTAACGTGGAAAGCGCAAGTATGTCTGCAGTCTTGAGGTATTATAGAGTAGATTACGATAACATTGCCAAAGCAAACTGTGAGATATGTAAACTTGGGATTGCCTGTCAGGTATTTTAAGTTGAGGTTCTATTTGTTTTTATGTTAGTTTTTTGTAATAAATGCTTGGATATTGTCCAAAAGTGGAGAATTGGTTATTCGTTACTTGATTGTTTAAGCTACCTCACAGGAATGCTCACAGAGTTGATGAATGTTAAAATAAGATGAATTAAATAAAAAATATCTAACATTCTGGATCTGTTTCTTCGCTTTTCCTTTATTCTTTTTTTATGTATTATAGAAGTATCGGATCGAGTTTCGGTATAAGCAGATACTCAAAATCAAGTGACTTGGACTCAAGGGCAAAAAAAATAAATGATTGCGGCATTCCTACTTATCATCAATATTGAGTTTAACTTCCACCAGAAAAAAACATCTAAAACCCATTAAAACCCAAGGACCCATGGCTAAATTCATAGTACACAATAACTACTTACTAATTGGTCATTCGAACGGCATCTATTTGATGCAATGTACAATACACCATGTAATTACAGTGACAGTTAACCTAGTTACGAGTCTAGCTTGAAAGCACAAGAAGTTGGCAGCCACCAGACTACATCCACACCTACCATTCTGTTTCAAAGAAACCATTTACAGTTTTGAACTCACTGACATGCATTAATTGCCAAATCCATTCATGGCATTTAACCTGACTTTACATGTAATGTTACATCACATGAGTAACCTGTGATGTCGTCAGACTTTACCCGATATGAACCTGCTAAGTTACACATCTTCCTCACATGCTTCCCCTTTATCCCCTTATCACAGTATTACTAACCTTCTTATATGAACACTATAGCTAGTATCGTCTTATTTAACCAATTAAGATGAGAATGGCTAGTTTTTTAAACCGAATACACACCAAAAAACGTAAAATAAGCATTAATAATGTGTTGTTTAGTTAAATTAAACGTGAACTTTGAATGTCGTCGTGTGTTATTACACTTCGGTTAACTCAACTGATGTAATGCATCAAACATGTGCGCAGCCTGTGAAAGAGAGAGAGAGAGCTTAACTAGCTGTCACTGTTGGTTAGTTTAAGATGAGAAAAAACATATCAAAGCAGACAGGCTGAAAAGCACGTGGTTATTTTAAAGGAGCCAGTGATTTATCGCCTATGGCCCAGCTTACCATACAGGTCAATGGAACTGAACGCCATCCCTCGATAGCATCTTATACACATAAATAGATCATCAAGAAAATCTGTAAGTGGTCTGATAAAGGCTTTGTCTGACGGCAATGTTTATATAAACAAATCAGATATTTCCTATCGCATCCCTGAAACCTGGAATCCGTAGTTCTGTGATGGGATGCGACTAATGTTACATCATTTTCCCGATTATTAGCCTGATCTGAGACATATTAATTCACACTTACGAGTACCTACATGTCATAAAACACATTGAATCGTTATGTCTTACCTTTCCGGGTAGAAAAAAACAAAAAACGTTGTCCTCTTCTGTAATTTCCCCTTGTGTTGTCTCCGTCGTGGTACCTGGCAGCTGCAGTACTGCGTGCCCTACTTCAACACTACTGAGGGGAAATATACACACACTCACAGCAGCTTTCTCAGATCAAACAGCTTCCAGCGTTGGAGGTTCTTGTGTCTACATATAATGAACTAGAGGAGAGTGGAACATTTTTTTTTCCTGGTTATATAGCAATACACGGACGTACACGGGGCACTGTGCTATTTCAACGCATGCTCAAAACAAACTCTGACGTCAAAGCGCTCACATGCCCCGCCTTCTTACGACGCTCGGCCAATGGCATTGTTTAGAAGCAATGACGCAACACCCAGTCATCTTTTTGCCGGTGTGGAGCCTCCCCTTGTGATTCCATAAGCCCGCTCAGCTTCCTTCACACTGCTTCTCTCCCTCAATAGACAGTTTTTTTTCCGGATGTTTAACTGTTGAAAGGGGGAATAAATGGGCATTGTGTCTTTTTTCTCTTTGTTTGGTTTCTTTT